TWAAAAATATGATTGTTGCAGCTAGGATTCATGATTAAAACATATATCTAGTTGTCTCTAGATTAGTTTTTTATTCAGACGMTACGATCTGCTCTCAGATAGCCATTCCAGATGTCTATAGAACACTTATTACGCGCACGCATGTTTTAAAACTCTTGAAGCTCCGCGCACGCTATATTTTACTTTATAAAATTTTTGATATGTAACGCGCGCTCTGATTGGCTGACGACCGTGTCTATATCAGAGGACAGAGACACGGCTTACCGGCAAAATTTTCTTTTCGCTCGAAAATTTTTATAAAAGAAATATAAAACGGGCGCTTGTGTCTCTGTCCTCTGATATAAACACGGTGGGAGTTGAAAAACACTCGAGAAGCAAGAGAAACAGTCGCTACGCTCGTGTTCCTAAGCTTGCTTCTCTCGTYTTTTTCGAACTCCCACCGTGTTTATATCAYAGGACAGAGACACGCYCGCCSTTTTATATTTCTTAAATATACGCGCGCAAARAATTGTAATGGAATTCATTTTTTGCACTGAAGAAGATCTGAGAGCAGATCGAAACGTCTGAATAAAAAACTAAGACAACTACATATATGTTTTAAAACAGCGGTTATTCGCTTTGAATTTGAAAATGGAGTATTGTGCCAAAAACAGACCATGCAGCCAGATCAAATAGCTGAATCGTCGCATGGATTTACATAAAGCTATGGGGTGACTTAATGACTGAGTGGGGGGGGGGGTGGGGGGGGGCGTACGGGAAAATTTTTAGCTTGAGGTTATGCCGTACGGAATGTGCGCAGCYAGGTCCGTACAAATGACCGAGAGRGAAATATTTTAGTTAGTCAATAAGCATTTTATCATGCAAGTTGTGACCAATAGGGTCTGCACAAAGGTTGGATCCTTGGACGGCAAAAACAACCTCTTTTTGGTGAAACGATTTCCGGTTGTATTTTAGTGCGTAAAGGACAAAATAATGAAAGTTGGAATTAAATGTTTACGTTATATTGTAGACATGGCAACAAAAGWAAAGAAGAGTCAGCWCRGCGCATGTCATAACGGCATGAGTCTCAGGGGTCTTCTCCTTTGCTCTAACAATCGATGTACTTTRGATTCGTCAATTGTTTTTATGGATATCAGTTCCTCTCTTAATCGCCGTGAATAGTTATTGATAAACCTGACATTCCTGAAACACTCATATAACAACAATTCTTTTTGCTTGATAAAGTTATTAGTTAAACAGGTATTCCTGATTTCTGCTCGTTTCACACCATACAAAGTGTCTTTAAATACACTTGTTTCAAGTAAATGAAGATCACCTATAGGTGTGTGGCTGTCTTTTCCATGCATAACATCATCAACTTCCAGTCCTAATTTCTTTATCGCTTGACGTGTTGTATTCTTAAAATTTCTTTTCGTTGTTTCTTCTTGAAGTAGAAAGGTGGATTTTCGGCGTTTTGTACATTTCTCGAGCAAGTTAGGTAGCTTGATATTTTGTTGTTTGGCCATCAGTTTCACTTTCAGACTAAGAGCTGCTTTGTCATGTTGTATTCAGTTGATTTAGTTTAGGTAACAATCCTTTTTTGAAATTTAAATACTGGTTGTCAGTCAATTACAAAACATTGAGATGCCCTGTAGCCTTGATCACCAAAAATGTTAAATGAAGAATCCTTTTTCGATTCTCTCTTTCATGATATCATACACGTATTATAACACGATTTATAATTGACGACACAGATAATAAATCATTACTCATCTCATAGTAACTTATAATCGATATGAGTCAAGCTATAGTGAAACATCACTAGGGCTACCYAACCTTGTTACTCGTAAACACTCGACAAGACATTTGTTCATATTGTAATCAACCTGAGTTTATCATGCAATCTTTCTATGAATGAAGCTTTTCATCATAGCAGCCTTGGCTACATTTGTATACATTCTTTTTCTGAAGCTTTTCATGTTTTTCAGAACTACATTGATTATGAAATCTTTCTTTATACAGGTTCTTTTATTTGTAGTGCCGCAAGTTATTTTTTTTCATTAAATTCACAGTATGTTGCTCTGCTGACTTTATCAAATCTCTTACCCTTGTTATTGAATAGGAAAGAAAAAATAAGCATGTAAGCTGTAAGTTTTTCATGCGTTATGCACAGAAGACTCTAAAACTTTATTGAAAAAGAAAGATAAAACTTCAATCAGTTCAATAGCTTCGTGCTATTTCGTTACGTTTTGGCACGTAAACGCTACGGAAACGCATCAGTACACGTAGAAGTGCGTAAATGACGCCTGGTTTCCTTTAATGGACTCTCCACACGASKAAACTAAACTCTCAAAYTACTAATCTCGCTGGACTTCATTATAACGCGAGAGATTGATTACTGAWTCAATACGGAAAAGGTAAGATTCTCGCCGTCAGCAATTCTACGAATACATTCAAATCTAGTCTCCTCCACAGCCTGTTCTTWYGGAACAGGAAGRCCGAGCAGCTGAAGACTGCGTGGAGGAGCCTTAAGGCCGATTTAGACGGCACAACTTTTGCCTACAACCATCGCATGCAATCTGC